TAGTAGCACTTTAAAAAAAAAACTTCTTGGCTTGGAAGGTCTTTCAAAGTAAGCTAGCAGCTGCCGGAGCTCCAGCAAATGGTTCAAAGTTAACTGCCAGCTACTTTTTCTTTTCTATAAAATACCCTCTGTTCCAYGTATGAGATCACAGCCAGCTACTTTAGACTTATGACCACCTACTCCAAAACATTGAAAGCCCTACTTGGCCATCTGCTTTTTGTGACAGTACAATGACCAGCTAAAATTTGAAGCCACACATACTGACTGCATTAGAATAGAGGATTACAAACATACCTTGTTAGCACTTGCATGCTCGCGTAATGCAAGATCCCAGAATCTGTATCCAATCTGTCAAAAACAAAGGACAATTATCATAAACTATATTACTTATTATTAAAAAACAACAACAAATGATTAATCATCAATATCACTGATATCCAGAAGGTCAAAGGTTTGATTCCTATCAGGAAGCCTAATTTCTTTCTGATTTCCTTTCAGCTAGAGACAAATTATCAAAATTTCTATATTACTTCCCTAGCTCATAAATAAATTTATCATATGATGACAACTATGCTTGGGCACTCTGTGGTATGAAACTCTTTTGGAAAAGAAAAACATCACTCGCTCCAAAATCGCCAAGAAAAACTCATACACAGTAAAAATCATAAGTTAAGGAAAGAAATGTTTTTTTTACTGTAAACTCCAAGAAGAAACAAAGTTTAAAAGAGTAGATCGAAACTCGTTTTACCTGGTTGCCGCACTGTCCAACTTTGGAATCCAAAAAAGAGACAAACAATYAGTATTTTTGAAAAAAAAAAGATATATTTATAAATGAAACTCTTCATTACCTTGTACGACAATTGACTGAGTCATAATTTAGTCTTTTAAGGCATTTTTTCGCGATATTTTAAGGATATCATTTTTGTTTTTAAAATTTTCGCGGGAATCTCGAGTTTGCGCAGTGAATGGAATATCCGGGTACTTTAGCAAAGCATGCTGGGTATTCTACCTCTTTCACCATCGTGACTCAAAAAGTGACTAAAAACCCACTTGGGAAGAATTGAAAAGGTATTTATGCATCGAAAATTAACCCTTATCACTTAAAATCCAACTCTATTCGAAAATTCATTTATTCAGCTTTAGATTGGTGTGTTTTTTGTTATTTTTACAGTCACATAAGCCGTAAAAATGGTGTCTTCAAAGAAACAGGTCAGTTTGTCCGCCATGTTGGAAGGAGATAGAATCTAGCACGTGGATTAAAAATAACTCTCTTCTCTGYCGCTAGATTCTCTCTCTTTGTATCTATTCTTCCAAATACCAAGACAGATCTATGAAATACTTCTATTATTGGATCATTAGAGCTTAAAAGTTCTTATATGTGAATATGGATTAGATTCGAAAGAATATTCGATACAAACCCAGATATACARGTTTTGTATTCGCTTAGCTTGGCTTTTTACCGGTCAATGTTTTATTATAAATTCACCCTTCTATTTAGTGGTTGAGCAAATGGTCCAATAAGTGGATAGTTGCACAGATTTCCTTACGTTCTACTATTCAAGCTCTATCAAACTGAATGACTAGAGTTTTTGATAGACCAGCATACCTTCCTCAAAGTAGTGAAAATTGATGATGATGGATTTTGGATCGTGGTCTCGCTTGGTACTAATATCTTTTGTTCATTATGCCTTGTATGGTGTTATTTGTACCCRAGCTAGACCAGAATGCATCATATTTATCGARMTCAGAAAAGACCTCTAGTCCATGGGGAAGGAAGAAAGTTGCTACGATTTGTTATATGCTATAAAGACATAAGATCTAAAAAAAAATCAACTTTATTAGTAACATCAAACAGTGTGCATTAGCTAATTTAAAATCTCGCATGCATGTAA